AGTTTTAAAAGAGCTGGCTGAGGAGTTCACTAGACTGTTAATGCTGATTTTCAGTAAGTGTTGGAGCACTCAGGAAGTTCCAGAAAGCTAATGTTGTTCCAATTTTTAAAAAGGGTAAATGGGCTGACCCAGGTAATTAATCCTGGGCAAGAAAATGGAGCAGCTGATATGGAACTCAATTAATACAGAACTAAAGGAGGGTAACATTAACGCAAATCAACATGGGTTTATGGAAAATAGATCCTGTCGAATTAGCAGGATACTTTTTTTGATGAGATTACAAGTTTGGTTGATAAAGATAATAATATTGATGTAATATACTTAGACTTCTGTAAGGCGTTTGACTTGATGCCTCATGACATTTTGATTAAAAAACTAGAATGACGTAAAATTAACATGGCACACATTAAATGGATTAAAAGCTAACTGATAGCTCTCAAAATGAAACTGTGAATGGAGAATCGTCCTCGAGTGGGCCTGTTTCTAGTGAGGTCCTACAGAAATCGGTTCTTGGCCCTACACTACTTAATATTTGTATCAATGACCTGGACGAAAACATAAAATCATCAATGATAAAATTTGCAGATGACACAAAAATTGGGGGAGTGATAAATAATGAAGAGGACAGGTCACTGATTCAGAGCGATCTGGGTCACTTGGTAAGCTGGGCGCAAACAAATCATGTGTGTTTTAATACAGCTAAACGTAAATGTGTCCATCTAGGAACAAATAATGCAGGCCACACACATACGATGGGGGGTTCTATTCCAGGAAGCAGTGACTCTGAAAAAGATTTGAGGGTCATGGCAGATAATCAGCTGAACAGGCGCTCCCAGTGTGACGCTGTGGCCAAAAGGTCTAATGCAATCGTGGGATGCACAAACAGGGGAATCTCGAGTAGGAGCAGAGAGGTTATTTTACCTCTGTCTTTGGCACTGGTGCGACCGCTGCTGGAATCCTGTGTCCAGTGCTGGTGCCCACAATTCAAGAAGGATGTTGATAAATTGGAGAGGGTTCAGAGAAGAGCCTTGAGAATGACTAACAGATTAGACAACCTGCCTTCTAGCGACAGACTCAAGGAGCTCAGTCTATTTAGCTTAACAAGGAGAAGGTTAAGGGATGACATGATCACTGTTTATAAGTACCTACATGTGGAACAAATATTTAATATTGGGCTCTTCAATCTAGCTGAGGAAGGTCTAAAACGATCCTTTGGCTGGAAGTTGAAGCCAGACAAATTCAGACTGGAAAGCAGGTGTAAATTTTTACCAGCGAGGGTAATTAACCACTGGAACAATTTACCAAGGGTCATGGTGGATTCTCCATCACTGACAATTTTCAACTCAAGTTTGGATGCCTTTCTAAAAGCTCTGCTTGAGGAATTCTTTTGTGAAGTTCTCTGGTCTGTGCCACACAGGAAGGCCCGTCTGGCTGCAGACTATAGTAATACTTTACTTGGAAATTCTCGGGCGAGGATTTGCGAGATCCTGGACAGGCTTCCAGTGTGACTTTGGGAAAAAAATCACTTAATGTTTGTACCTTGGTTTTCCTGTCTGTACACTGGGGACAACCATACCTCTTCCTTCCCTGACTTGTGGGCGTTGCAATTCAAACACTGCCGCAATGAGCCCCACAGAAAAGCCTATAAGTAAAAACTAGCCCACAAATATGGTCTGAAAAAAACAAAACAAAAACTGCAGACAAATGAAGCCAGTAAAGGTTAGACTGATTACACTGGAAATCCAGGCAGGACCATACTGGCCCTAGGATATGGACACATGCTTCCCACATCACTGTCCATCCCCCACGTACTCAGAACCATACAACGGCATGACAGCTGAGAAAACGCAGACCCAGAAGCATGCCAACTGCTGCCTCTTGGGCCTCGGTTGGTTTGGTTATGCGCAGGCAGTGGGATGAACAGTTAAGATGGTCACTTGTTTAAAGTGCTCTGACTGTTCTTGTAGGCACAGATGGTTTCTCACCAGCTCAGAGAGGCCTCTGCAAAGCAGCATGTAGCGGGGCGTCTCCCATTAGCATTAAGAGGCACTGACCAAATCCTTGAGTTTCTCACCCTTAGGACGCACCCGTAAAGTACATCTCTATTCTGGTGAGTAAGTAGGAAGGGCTCTTCTTACTAACCTGGCCTGCATCCTGTGTGTGTGCAATCAGATCGGCTGACTGGACTCACTAATGCAAGCTAACACAGCAATGGGACGGAGAGCTGGCGTTTGCGCTGCTCAGGTCTCATTCACAGAACTGTTAGCTAGGTTCCAAACGCAGAACATTCGTGTCAATGACTCTCTGACCCCCGGGGAGTCTGTGGGATCAGCTGGTAGAACGCCATACCCAGGTTTTCACTTATAAACTCAGCAGATCTGATCCGAAGTCAGACACACACACACACAGCATGAAGCCCCATGATGCCATTTTCAAAGTGCCTCTTTTTCAGAGCAGGACATATTAAGGGCCCAATGCTGAGGACTGCCCGGGACACAAATGGAAGTCAGTGGGTGCTCAGCCCAAGACAGTCTGGCTCTAGAAAATCTTCAGACCCTATATGTTGTTAAAATTATTTCACCCTCCCTGCCCCATGGAGACTGATGTGGGCAGCCAGTGCCCTCCTGCGTGATGTTAGCAGCTTTGTCTCCCACTTTGATCCCTTGTTTCTAAGGCCTTAATATAGAACATAAGAAAATCTAATCTAACATTAGGTCTCAGCTGTGCATATTAAAACACAGGCATAGAAAATCTGGACTTTTCACTAAGGGGGATGGCAGATCTCCAGACTGTTCAGAAGCGGCCGGAAGCCCAACACAACTCCCCCCCCCCATAACTCCTATTAACTCCAACAAATTGTTTCTTGCACAACAGAAGAAAAATGTTGCCCCTCTCCCCACATCAAATCTTTCCATGTGTGCTGCACGCGCAGGCTATTTCTGCTTTCCCTGCCACCCCCACGGGGAGCTGGCTTGATATCCAGGGGAAGGTAACAGCACCAATTATTACACACACTATCCCACAGCTCCTCGCTTGTTAAAGAAAACAAGAGTCTCTTTTGTGCCCCAAATAAAAGGAGATCCCTTAATTAGAACAGTGCAGGTTGGTGAGTATAAAACACTGAGCCCAGCTGCTGTATGCCATTAAATTCATAAAAAAAAGGGGGGGCGGGGGTGGGGGAGGGCAGTCTTAACGAGATTACACACATTGACTTTGATCAAGACACAAAAGCACCAAGGCGTTCCAGGGTTTTTATTGCTGTCTTCGGGCTACATTTTAATGGCTACATTAGAAACATGCGAATGCAGGCTGGGAGATTTGGGTGAAGGGAGAGAGCCCGAGCATGCCTCGTGAAAAGCCCTGGTTTAATCAACTGCGGGCTGCAGGAAGAGGGTAGGGCTGGGGAACAGATGAGCGGCCACTTATTAATTGCTTCCCCCACACAAGTGCCAGCACCTAACCCTACGTCCTGCTGGAATATTCCCTTCCCTCCCGCCTGGTCAGAGCCAGGCTCTGGGCGTGGCCAATACACAGCAAACCCAGTCCCCATCTACCCCACCACACAGCAGTGTGAGGAAGGAGGGGTGAGACCAAATCTAAACACTCCTCTCCTTGGAGAAGTGAATGTTAACCCCTTAATGCCAGGAGTGCAACCTTCTAGGGGTTCGGTCTTATTGCAGGCTGCTGTGATGCTGTCAGTGGAACAAAGGGGCTTGACAGATGTTGAAGTCTGCCTGAGCCTCAGAAGGGCACACAATAGGTGCTGCTGGCCTAAAAGACCATCTTGGGATGGCGGGGAGCAGAGGGGTGAAGGACATGGAGGAATAAAATCCAACATGGGATAGAAACGCTCTATTCTCCGTTTGCAGCCAGCACTGCAGAATCGGATTATACCTAGGAGCAGCGGCGCATATATTCATCTGAACACCTTACTGCTACGTAGCTGTGCAGGAGCCTTTTGCAATGTGCTGCTAAATGCCTAAAAAAGCCTGTGTAATCTAAAGAGCGACAGGGGTGTAGCTGAATCGCTAGAAAATACAGCCCGGGGACAGTCGAGTTACTGAGTTTGCTATTAACACCCAATGCTGCAGGCATTTCACCATCCCAGTAACTCTTCTCCGCCGAGGTATTTAAAAGGCAGTATCTAGAGGCCCACTGCCAGATTAGCTGAAGCTCCACGTTCACAGTGTGGTCTGTAAAAAGAAGATGTTGCCGGACCTAACAGCAGCAGCTTTTAGAAGAGCGCGAGTCCCCGTACATCATTTGCAACCCAACCCTGCAGCAGCCTGCTAATGCCTGAGCATCAAAGTGAAAGTGACTAGCTCAAATCTCCATTGCCCAGGCTGCGTGAAACGAAAACGTTGTGGTCAGCATCACGGGGGGAAATAAAAGCCGACGAAAACCCAGAAAGTCAGGGGTAGGAAAGGAACCGGCATCACTTTGTTTAACAAAAATATTAATTTTAACACAAGCGTGTCCCTTTGAAACGAACAAAAAGGCAAATCCTGGGGGCACTGGGCCACCTCTTCTACACTTCCAATAGTGCCCAACTTTCCAGACAACCAACCACACTAGTTCCAAATGGCATGACGCTGTTTCAATTCCCCAGAAGAGGGGAAGGAAACCGCACTGATGGGTGCTGCACAGGTCAGCGGATCCCAGCGCAGTGGATCTAAGCTGGGGTCCAAGCTGCAGCTGCACAGTGCACAAAACTCCTTTGGAAGTCGATAGGAATTCCACACGCGGTGCTGGTCCAGCACTGAGCCCTCCCGTCAGGGAGTAAAGCGTGAGCAGGACCACTCTTCAGTGAGCGTAACTCAAACCCAGCTCCGCCCAACGAAGGACTCGAATCTGATGGGCGTGTTTAATAAAAGGTTGGGCACCCCACATACGCAGAACCCCACTTCATATCAAGCAAGAACCCTCTCCTCTAATGTAAGTACACGTCTGGGGAGAGGGAGACGTCTACATGTCAATGAGAAAGTAGCCGAGTGCCTCACCAGAGTCCGCAGCCAGCATTCTTCACAGTGCACATGCCAGCACTGAATGGAAGTCAGGGGCATCGTGTAAGAGTCCTGAAGAGAAAAAGCAAAGACATTCTTGTCAATAAAAGGCTGGCGGATTCCCAGCCTACAATTATGTCACCAGGGTACTGGCGTTGGGAAGGGGGCAGCAGAAGAGGGCAGTTACCCAGAGTCAACACTCCCCATTATTCCCATCTTAATAAGAACACAGTTCAGGAGCTGCTCCTTATACAATGAGCCAAGTGCGACGCATCCAACAGAAACGACGCACAGAAATCAGGCAAACTCTCACTGACTTCAGGACTGAGTGAAAACTAAGCAGGGATCTAAACTTTAGCTCAAGAGTAGCAGAGGTAGAAAGTCTCCTGTAGGCCATTGCTTTGCCTGACAGAAGCCCATAACCCACCTGGTGGTGACACAGCTCAACCTGGTTAGCTAGAGAGGTACGTCTACACTGCAATTTTATAGCCCCCCGAGTCTGAATCAGTTGACCTGGGCCAGCCATGGTTATTCCCTGGGTCTTTTATCGTAGGGAAGTTGTGACCACGTATCATTATTCCAATGGAAAGGTCACCAGATTGCGCGAGAGCAGAGATAAGGGATAAGATTAACTCTCATCGCAACTGCCCACTCTGCTGGAATAGCGTAACTATCTACCGAGAATACTGCTGTCATTTCAGCAGGCACGTATTCGCACTCAAGTGATTTATTAGTGAGGGTAGCAATCAACAACAGACCGTACGTCTTGCCTAGACTCAGAGATGGGAGTCTGTCTGATCCAGCTAGTGCCAGTTGTTCCACTGGCAACTCCATCATCCCAGCAACATTTTCTTCTTCTACTGAACCATGGGACAAACAGAGCTCGGAAATAAAACCAAACGCGAGAGGCAAAAAGCTGCAGGTTCTGAGCCATTAGAGGGAGCTGCAGCCCTTCTTTAGGGAAGCCAAAGCGGCAACACACACATAACTAACAGGACACAGGCAACTTTTAAACGCACAGGCAAAATTCTTGCCTTCAAGCCATATGGTGGGTCTCAAATCAGGCATTCTCCTCTCCTTACGCATGTGCAACTCTGCACATGCAGGAGGAGAAGAACGCAGGCACTTGGGAGCTCTGCATGGTCAATCTGAAAGGGGAATGCTGTCCTATGAAGTTAGAAATTTCTGCTCCTAATACAGACTGCTACGAACACCAATGAAATGATATAACTGATACACACACATAGAAACTGGAAAGAAACTTGCAACACATTTACCCAGAGAAAGGAAGAGATTTTTTTCCTTGTGTAAGGACAGGGATGCATTCACCTTACCAAAGTAGTAGGATTCGCCTCTTTCCCCAAGTCAAAGGTACGGAGACGTTTTCTGATTCATTGCCACAACTGGAGTGCTACTCACCATGCAAATGAGACATTTATAGCGGTCTCCACGGGAAAGCTGCCTTTCTAACTCCCGGACACGAGCCTTTAACGCTTCAAATGTTGTCACTGCAGAGTCTTCTGTAATTCTGCAAGAGATGATGGAAGTCAGGGTAAGGCTTTACAAAAGTTAAATTTATGGCCCTTTTGGTAGGTGCAAAAGATGCAGTGACAAGGTCCAAAGAAACAAATTCAGCATAAGCAAAGGACTATTTGAAAAGGAGGGTTATTAAGAAGCCCATGGTCTGCGGAGATCTGAAAAAGAGAAGGATTGTGGGTGGGTAACATTATACAGAAGGTGTTTCAGCAGAAACTAAATGGTGGAAACAGGAGTCACGCCCCATTACTCCCTTCTTTCCCTATCACTGCAAGAGGCCCCATGTCAACGCCATCCCAACAAAGCTCGAAGTGCTGCTCTTGAGCTGGGAAGGTGTGTTTCTCTCAAGAGCAACAGGAGTCACATCACATGGGGATGATAGCACTCTTTCCTTTCCACGAGTACCTAAGGAGGATGTTCTACAGAAGCTATTAAAATCAGACATTTTGAAATAACCAGCCCAGATAACTTGCATCCAAGAGTTTTCAAAGAGCTGGCTCAGGAGATCTCTAGACAGCTAATGCTGATTTTCAATATATCTTGGAACGCTGGAGAAGTTCCAGAAGACTGGAAGAAAGCTAATGATGTGCCAATAGTTAAAAAGGGTAAACGGGCTGACCTGGGTAATTATAGGCCTGTCAGTCTGACATCGATCCTGAGCAAGATAATGGAGCGGGTCACAAAGAACTTGATTAATAAAGAATTAAAGGTGATTATAATTAATGCCAATCAATGTGGATTTATGGAAAACAGATCCTGCCAAATTAACTGGATACCTTTTTTTGACGAGATTGCAAGTTTGGTTGATAGGGTTAATGTAATATATTTAGACTTCTGTACGGCATTTGACCTGGTGCCACATGACAGTTTGATTAAAAAACTAGAAAGATATAAAATTAACAGGACACATGTTAAATGGATTAAAAGCTGGCTAACTGATAGATCTCAAAATGTAATTGTAAATGCGAAATCATCCAGCAGGTGTGTTTCTAGTGAAGTCCTGCAGGGATCAGTTCTTGGCCCTACACTATTTAACATTTTTATCAATGAGCTGGAAGAAAACATAAAATCATCCCTGATCAAGTTTGCAGATGACACAACAATTGGGGGAGTGGTAAATAATGAAGAGGACAGTTCACTGACACAGAGCGATCTGGATTGCTTGGTAAACTGGGCACAAGCAAACTGTACATTTTAATATGGCTAAACGTAAATATATACATCTAGGAGCAAAGAACATAGGCCATGCTTACAGGATGGGGGACTCTCTCCTGGGAAGCCGGGACTCTGAAAAAGATTTGGGGGTCGTGGTGGATAATCAGCTGAACATGAGCTCCCAGCATGCCGTTGTGGCCGAAAGGGCTAATGCGATCCTGGGATGCATAAATAGGGGAATCTCAAGTAGGAGCAGAGAGGTTATTTTACCTCTGTATTTGGCACTGGTGGAATACTGTGTCCAGTTCTGGTACCACAATTGAAAAAGGAGGTTGATACATTGGGGAGGGTTCACAGAAGAGCCTAGAGGATGATTAAAGGATTAGAAAACCTACCTTCCAGCCATAGAACCAAGGAGCTCAGTCTATTTAGCTTAACAAAGAGAAGGTTAAGGGGTGACTTGATTACAGTTTATAACAGAGGTGGGCAAACTATGGCCCGGGGGCCACATCCGGGGAACAGGGGGGTTGAATGGGGGCAGGGGTTCCCAGGGGGCAGTCAGGAAGGAGAGGGGGGGTTGGATGGGCAGTCAGGGCGGAGGTTCTGGAGGCAATCAGGGGACAGGAAATGGAGGGATTGGATGGGACAGGAGTCGAGGGGGCCGTCAGGGGGCGAGAAGCAGGAGGAGTCGGATAGGGGGCGGGGGCCGGGCCATGCCTGACTGTTTGGGGAGGCACAATTTCAGAAACCCGATGCGGCCCTCAGGCCAAAAAGTTTGCCTGCCCCTGGTCTATAAGTACCTATATGGGGAACATATTTGGTAATGGGCTCTTCTACCTAGCAGAGAAAGGCATAACCCGATGCTATGGCTACAAGTTGAAGCTAGACAAATTCAGACTGGAAATAAGGAATAATTTTTTAACCATGACAGTAACCAACCCCTGGAACAATGTCCCAAGGGTTGGGGCGGATTCTCCATCATCGTCAATGTTTAAATCAAGGTTGGATGTTTTTCTAACAGACCTGCTCTGGGAGTTATTTGGGGAAGTTCCATGGCCTGTTTTATGCAGGACATCAGATTAGATTCTCAAGGGTTCTCAAACTTCATTGCACCGTGACCCCCTTCTGACAACAAAAATTACTGTGTGACCCCAGGAGGGGGGTGGGGGTAAAGGCTGAGCCCGCCCAAGCCCTGCCACCCTGGGTGGGGGGGCCGGGGCCAAAGTCCGAGCCCCACTGCCCCAGCAGGGGGCCTGTAACCTGAGCCCTGCCACTCAGGGCGGAAGCCCTCAGACTTCGGCCCCGGGCGATGCGGCTCAGGCTTTGGCTTCGACCCTAGGCCCAGCAAGTCTTAAGCCAGCCCTGGCGACCCCATTAAAATGGGGTCATGACCCACTTTGGGGTTCCGACCCACAGTTTGAGAACCCCTGGGCTAGATGATCATAATGGCCTCGTCTGGCCTTGGAATGCATGAATCTAAAAACAGGCGCACTGCCTCTGCTGGGATGCTGGCCCTGGTAGCTCGGGACACGAATGCCACAGGTTGCATCAGGACAGACAGGAGGCAACAGTGTTCTGCTAAATGAAGTCTCACTTTTCAGATTACTGGAGAGGGGATGGAGCGGAAAGCCAAAGCTGCGGACGCCGTATCAAGAAGCTAGATCTAAAAGCAGCTTTGCAAACCCGGCTTGCCCGTTTGCCTGGGGTCATTTTTGACAGGCAGCATTATATTGTCACAAAGCCACCGTCATAAGGACAGGCAAGGACATGTTGGTGATTCTGCCAGGCTGACAGAGTTAGCTGGCAACCGAGAAACGGGCAGACGGCAACAGCAACACTGAGAAAACGGGATGCATGAGGAGAGCTACCGAGAAGGGCGTCTCACTCCAGAGGAAGAGGAGAAACACCGGCCTTTCCACTGTGTAGACATAACTAAGCTCCCTTTGACTTTCCTCTTAAAACCTCTTCCAGGATATTGCAGTGGGGCTGTGGCTAGAAAGGGAGTTCGCTGGTGAGGGACAACGGAGCACTTTACAATTCATTCGAAGTTAATTTCAGGTCAAATCTATGCAGCTTCCATGTCAGAAGAACGGCAAGAAAAACCCACGATCTGAGACTGTAGAATTTATTCTATGTACCCTAGTAACACCGGTAACAGAAGCCAGTCCCTGTGCTAAAGAACTTATTTAGCAAATCGTGAGCTAACAGGTGGACACAACAAGTGGTTTGAGGCAGGGGCCAGTGAAACCATCCTGACTGGGATAAGCAGCAGCCGTCCCAGCACACCCACGTACTTGTTGCTTTGTGTATTAGTAATCACCACCTCTAGTCAAGGCTCTGGAAACACAACTTAGACGGCCATTCTGTTGACTCTTCACAAGCAGAATGGAGTCTAGCTAGTTTCTCCCACTGCCATGTTGGCTGGGCAGAGCCAACGTGATGAAAAGCCCTAGGTGTGGCAGTAAAGCAAGCAGCCAGGAATTACAGTGGAAATGGATCTGGGTAGTAAAGGAGCTTCAGAGTCACTTGCAGATGGAAGGGGTGCTGCAGGCCTACGTGGGGCTAGGACCAATCCTTTGGACACAATCCGTGCAGAGCTCATGCAGCTCCAATTCTAGCCTGCAACGCAGGACGGGCCACCAACGTTAAGGCTGCCAAGAGCCTTCTCACTTGCCCACCTGACCTGGGCGCTGCTGCACTGGAATGCTGAAGGATACAGCGAGACGACGTTGGAGGCGAATTCTCCCCTCTCTCTCGTGAAAGGCATAAGGAGATTTCTGATGGCATTTGAGCTCTGCCAGAAACCAGAGTCTCGCCAGGTAACCAAGCAGAGGTAGGTGACCAGGAAAACTTCAGTGCTAATTGAACTCTTCCATGTTCACATGAAAACAGAGGGTTTCTAGCTCGGTCCCAGTCCGACCAGGGTCAGAGTCTGAAAGGGAAATTTACCAGTGCAACTGGAGGGGATAGCAAATGGCTTGTTGGCAGAAGTCTAAAGGGCTGATCCCATCAGCCAATTTTGGAAAGTCGCGGAGATAATTGCGCCTGTCCAGTAATAAACGAATGAAATCAGAAAAGGACGCTGAATAGAGGTATAAGCAATAGCGCTCAGAGCCTGCCGGATACAATGGCCAATCAATAGCAGGGCTGTAGATCAGGGCGCTAGTTAGCTGGAAAATTACCGCATGGCTGTGTGCGTCACGCTGTAGGGATCCTGGACAATCAATGTGGGAGCTATCGATTTAGTTATTATCACTTCATACGCGCCAGACATGGTTAAATATACATTTATTAACAAGGCTGGGGTGCATTCGGTAGATGGAGTTTTAACAAGTGCAACCTCTCCTAGCTCTGATCAAAGCTCTGCCACTGGAGCCTTTAACCTCCCTGTTCCTCCCCGTCAAGCTCGACCCCAGAACAAATCCTACGGAGCTAGTCAGTGGGTAAGACCCTGCCCCCTCTTGTGATTGGAGAGAAAGTATTTGCCCATAAGTGCCCGTGTCGCGGTTGCGATTTTGGGAAAGCCTCCTGGAGCAGCAGAAACAAAGGACACAAGGCTCAGGGTCCAAACAAAACGAGAGCTACTCACACCGCTGCTTCCAAAGAGAGGGAGGAAATGAGGTCCAGGGAGAACCTTAGTACATAGCAAACTGAGGCGTCTTCCAAGGAGGGGTAAAGAGAGGAGTCGCTTCCCACGTGCCTGGCTCCAGCAGTGGCCATGCCACTCAGAACACCAGCCGTTCCACTGACATATTTTACCATTAACCGGCTGCTTGTATCCTAAAGCTAAGCATCACTCAACAGCAATCCTTCCTGCAACAGGCAAGCTGGGAGCTC